GGACAGTGCGCCCTCTGCTGTCCAGACTGAGATCCACAACAGCATGAAAGGACCACAGAAGCAATCTGACCAGCACTGCTCTAAGCAAGCTGAGCTCAAAGGGCTCAAAAGCCTCGGCCAGGGTCAACAGAGATGGAACTTCAAATCACTTCTACAACTTGCCTTAGGGACATAACAGGTTATATGCCTGAAAGGCTCGCAGGCATGACCTGGAAGAGGAAGCACATTTCGGGTCACACGCAGCAGTTCTTTCTAAAATACAGGAAAAAAGAAAAATTCAGAAGATGCTGCCTGCTTCACCATGTGGAAATGTGGCAAAGATCTGAGAGCAGGGAGGGCAAGAGAAAACGAGGTCATCCTCTAAATAAAATCTACCATAGCAAAGATATGTTTGGATTTTTAACTGCCCGAGAATAAAGCATACATCCAGAAATAATATTAACTCTATTAAGTATAGTTGGGTAACAATTTGGGAGCAGTAAGAATAGAAAAAACAAAAGAGTACCTACTTCATGCTATCAATGACCTCCATCAACTGTGGACATTAATGTCTTATTATAGGATGATGACCCTCAGAGGTCACATAATTTCTTAAATAACACAATTCTTTTTCCATGCTTTGACAAACACTGCTTCCTAAGCTCTTTGTGTGTGTGTGTGTGTGTGTGTGTGTGTGTGTGTGTGTGTGTGTGTGTTTCATAGCATACAGTTCGTTATAGAATGGGCTGACAACAGGCTTCACCCCTCACCAGGAGCCACTCAAGAATCTTCCTCTAAAATCTGTGGACAGACCATAAGCCATTTACTAAGTTACAGTCCAAAAATACATGGAATGTTGGTTCTTTTGCTGATCTTGATGATAATCATTACTGCAGTGCTATGTTTAACTCAATTAGATCAACTGATTTAAAAAAGAAAACCACACTCTTTCTCAACAGCCTTTCATTTTAGGAACTCGCCATATGGTGGTCTTACTTAGGCACTCAGATACACAACAATAGCTAGCAGAAATTTTATTAAAGATATAAAAGGTATCCTCAGAGATAAACATGACAAGAAAGAAAGAATGAGTCAATACACCTTGAGGGAGGGCTCTCTTCTGTGCAACCCTAACCCAGATAAGGAAATGAGCACCTCCTCTCTCCACTTAGATGTGTGTGCTGTGGGTGAGTTCAGAGACTGTGGCACTGCCTTCTGTTAGCTTCTCAAATGGGGTGTGACAATGTTCCCAAGCACATTTCATTCCTGACAGGAAGAACATCTTCAAGTAGAAAGGGCACAAGATCTCAAAGAAGGAGCCAAAACTAAGAATGAACAGGGAACACAGGCAGGCCCTGTAAGTGTCGCTGGAGAAGCCTGTGTACCTCGAGTCAGTCCTAAACTGCAAGCTCTGGCATTGCCAGAGCTAGGATAAGAATGGAGAGCAATGCCATGTCTTATGAATGAAAGTGTTGTTGGGTATGACTCTGTTTATTCCCACTTTACTGTGTCAAAGCTATTGAAAACCTGCCTAAACACTCTAGGCTCCTTTGTCTCTACGATAGGAACACAGGAAGCACTGGAGACTGAATGTAACTGGGTTCTAAGGGCAACAGCTTTCCTGGACGGGACTGTGACAGCAGAGAAACATGACAAGAGAGGACGAATCTGACAACCAGGCATTCTTCTTCCTCTGCCTCACTGCTAATCCCCGAGCTTTTGCTTCCACCCTTTATTTTGGTGTTGGAGTTAAACCTAAGACTATGCATGCTTAGCACACATTACAAATATATATCCTGGAGTCCACAAGGATGGATGGTGGGCATTTCCTCAGCTATTCTCCAAATAAAACACCTTTCTATGCAACGGCCTATTCTCAAAAAAAATAAAAAATTGAGATTTATCTTATGGGTCTGAGTATTTGTCTGAATGTATGTCTGTATACCATGTGAGGGCAGTGTCCAGGGATGCCAGAAGGCATCAGACCCCCAGAACTGGACTTTTAGATCATGGAGTTGTGAGTAACCATGTTTGGCTGAGATTTGAACCCTAGTCCTCTAGAAGAGCAGTCAGTGCTCTTAACCACTGAACCACCTCTCCAACCCCATGATACCTATCCTTGGCATGCTTTTTTCTATAATAAACAAGAAAGACACAGCAGTCCCTTCCTTCTGTACTATTTTTTATAATATGTTCTTCTTATAACATAGAAATGAAATATTATGGGAAGACAAAAATGGCAAGTAAAAGAAAAACAAAAATAGTGATCCATCGTAGAAGTAGTCCTTAAAAAATAAAAGAGTAGGATTCAGCTTCTTGTAGTAAACTGTCAGCTTGAAAGACAGAAGAAGTAGAGTTTTTTGCGTCCCCACCATTTTGGCAATTTAGAATGGCAATAGCTACCACAATACCTTCATACAAGACAATACTTTATAAATAATAGCATGTGATTCTAAAGCAAATGCTCACCATGTTTCTAAGAATGAGGTTCCTTTGCTAACATTAAAATTTTGTCTAATAAAAATTAAACTATGAACTTTCCTTTTATTTATTTTTTAACTGATGAGGCCATTGTTTATTTTAATTTTTTACTTTTGTATGTGTGAGAAAGACAAGTCTCACTACATAGCCCGGGCTAGTCTCAAACTCATGGTCTTCTGTTTTTGCTTCTTGCCTAATGGGATTATAAGTATATGCTACCACATTCAGCTGAAGTTTTTCACAGATGTGTTATATTCTGGAATCCAATATCTGAGCAAATATGAGAAGTATTTATAAATTTAATAGTGATATAAATAGCATCTAATACTATTGAGGAAAATGTATTTTCCTGTTTGGTAAGACAATAACTCTCCAATAACTCTGAAGTGCCCAGGAACTTCCCTTTGACCAGAAGCCTAAGAGGGGCAATAATTTTCTAAGTTGCCAAAATGTTATGAAAGCTAAATACTTTATGCTCTACTGCTAAGACAGGTGGAGACTTCCTACCCTTCAAATATCTCAAGTATTCCTCTGTATGTGTGTGTGCGTGTGCGTGTGCGTGTGCGTGTGTGTGTGTGTGTGTGTGTGTGTGTGTGTGTGATTACACAATGAGTAATGGTTTCATTCAAAGATTCTGGCATCACTTGTTGGCTAAATAGTGCTAGAAGAGCACAGCATGATTGATAATTCACAGGGTACTAACTTAGTACCACTACAACTCTCAGATTAAAATATCACTATACTAATCAAACACATAGTAAAGTAGGAGAGCCCATTAACTTTAAATTAGATCATACACGCAGGACAGATGGAAACTTAGACCTCAAGGCCAAGCTCTTGGGTAAAGATCTACATGCTATAGAGATGCCAATTCTTTCCATCTTTCCCACTTTTCTCCTCCTTTTCTCTCTCTCTCTCTCTCTCTCTCTCTCTCTCTCTCTCTCTCTCTCTCTCTCTCTCTCTCGTCTATTTAAGGACAAAGACAAGGCTGAGCAAAAGCTTGAGAACCTCTTGCCCCAGGCTCCTGAGTGCTGGGATTACAGACATGTACCACCATACCCAAATTTTTCTTGCCTTTCTTAAATACATATTCATATCACTGAAATCTGGCAATTGCTCCCCTTTTAATTTTGTTTCTCATGTTCATTCGCTCCATGGCTTACACTAGCCTGCTACTCACTATGTAGCCAGGCTGGCCTTGAACTCAGCAATCCTCCTCAGTGTTGGGGTTACAAGGTGTGCGTGCCACCACAGCTAGCTCCACCTCCTTCCTTTTTAATGTCAGGAGTCAACGTGTATGTTGGAAGTCAGGATAGGGATTAACATTGAAAGGGGCAAGTGACTCAAAAGAGGATAAGGAATTCCACGTTAGAATGAGACATGCTTCTGTGGTAAATAAAGTGAACTCATAAATAGAGTTTTAAACATTCAAAATTGAGGACGGGAGAGATGGCTGAGTGGTTAGGAGCATTTGTTGCTCTTACAAAGGACCCAGGTTCAATTCCCAGCACCTACGTGGTGGCTCACAACCCTCCATAACTCTATTCCTGCATATGTGGCACAATCTTCTGACCTCCAAGTACACCAAGCACACATGGTGCACATATATCCACTCAGGCAATATGCTCATACCCATAAAATAAATCTTTAAAATTCTTCAAAATTTCACCAAATCATACAGTATTACATCTTCCTTTCATGTAAAATGTTTATTTTAGGAAATGGTGCAATCAATACTCACTAAACAAAAACTTGAAGGAAAGAACTTGGTAAGACCCTATTGAGAACTTGGAAAATGTGATGAAGGTGCTAGCAAGCATACCATAACAAGGCTGAGTTCTGTGTACTGGACGCTAGAAGAATTCAGAAGGAGAGAAGCTATCCCACCCATGGAATCATAGAAAGCAACCTGTAGGAGAGTAACATGCATGCCGAACTTGAAGCCTAACGAGAATGTTCTCAGATACAGATGAGCAGCTCAAGCAAACAGAACAACAACATGTGCAAACCTGTGAACTGTACAGAGCAAGCTTCGAGGGAAAAGCTGTTGGTGTAAGAAGAGTATGGTTTTATGAGGGGAAGAGGTAGGAAGTAAGATTAGCTTCTTCAAGCTGCTATCAGATTTAGATGGAAATCTTCCAACAAAGTGAAATGTAGCGGAAATCTGAGAGAGTCTCTTAAACTAGTGGTGAGTGGAATAGGATCACTGGAACAGAACTTGAGACAGGGACTTTTCTTTGTCCCTTGTCAAGTCATCAGTGATTAGAATAGCACCTGGAATATAGTATGTCCATGGATACACAGGGAATACATTAATACA